CACACACACACACACACACACACACACACACACACACACACACTATCTTTTCTTACCTCAGACAGGTTTTGTAAAATCCAGATCAATCTCAAAGAAGCTTGCTGGGTAGTAAAATTGAACCGACTGGCTGTTAATATCCGTTTACTTCGACTGAAGAAGTGAATCACCCGACAGGAACTGTGTAATAACTGTTTTAAAAACAAAGTAGTTTTAAAGGAAAATACAGTTAATGGTATGTTTTTGTTGTTAAATCAGGATCCGATGTAGTCCAGGTTGGCCTTGATCTCCTGATCTTTCTGCGTCCACCTCCCCGTCCAGGCAGGGGCCACCATACCCAACTATTTGATGTATTTTGATGATACATGTGCAAACACACCCAGCAATAAAGAAGTCATTTAACAACTTATAAAATGTTCTGAATGCTTAAGAAAATCAAGAACAACAATATTATTGTAAGTGGACAATTTGTATTTCAACATTTCAAATGTGACACATGTATTGTGAACTTCTTCAGTAATTGCCAGAGGCTTACGTATTATAGAACACTTAAAACCACTCTTTTCTACTGAGTGCACTGACATGCACTTAGTACCAGCTACTTGGGAGGCTGATTACCTCTGGTAGGAGGATTACCTGAGTTCATGAATTCAAAACTAGCTTGGGCAACCCAGCAAGACCCTGTCTCAAAAATTAAACCTACAGCACACATCAGCCTACAATTCTTTTTTACTTTGTTAATTGTGGAAGTAAAGGGAAAGATTAAAAGGAGAAGGCTATATTTGCAGAATTCTTATTTTACTAGGAAATACATACTTAACTTTTAAAGTATTCCAGATAAGTCTACATTATTTAGTATACTGGACAGCATCATCCAGTGCTACTCAAATATTAACATCATCAACATAAGGCTGTTTCCTCAGCTTTGATTTTGAAGGCCCATATCCCAAATATTTTCATGTTACTCATAATTGATTCAATAAATCAGAACCCTGAGAAAACTTAATGCCAATCAATAAGAATGAGCTCTTACTAGCTCCTTTTTTTTTCAGTTAGAAATCAAGTTAGGGACTGGAGAGATGGCTCAGCAGTTAAGAGCACTGGCTGCTCTTGCAAATGACCTGGGTTTGACTGCCAGCACCCACATGGCAGCTAACAACCATCCATAGCTCTAATTCCAGGGAAATCCAGTGTTCTCTTCTGACCTGTGCAGGGATTACACGACACGGGTGCACTTACATACACTCAGGTGATACACCCATACATATAAAATATTTTTTTAAAAAGGAAGAAATCAAGTTAGCAACACCAGGTTTAGCGATGATCCAGCCTGGGTTATATAGTGAAACTCTGTCTCAACCAAAGAGGGTTGGGGGGCTGTTGAACTACTTGCCTAGCATATGAAAGGCCCTGGGGGAGAGAAAAAGGAGGGGGAAGGAGGAAGAGAGGGAGAGAGAGAAACAGAGAGAAGAACTAGAGACGGTGGTGCACACCTAAAACCCAATACTTCAGAGGTTGAGGCAGAGGACCACTAAAAATTTGAGGTTAACCTGACTTACATAGTGAGTTACAGGTCAGTCAGAGATTCATAGTAAGACCCTGTTGAGAGGTGGGGGAGAGAGAAAGAGAGGAGGGGAGGAAATGATGGAGGGAGGGACGGAGGGACGGAGGGATGGAAGGAGGGAGAGAGAGAGAAGACAAAATGTGTGTTACACATTGCTGGCAGTAAGTAAAAGACAGAGTCAATCTTGAAAACAGTTTAGCAGTTTCTTATAAAACAAAATCTCGAGCCAGGTGTAGTGGTACACACACCTTCAATCTCAGCACTTGGGTAACAGAAGTAGAAGAATCACCACAAGTTCAATGTCAGCCTGGGCTATACAGCAAGTTGTAGGCCAGTGAGGGCTACAATGGAGACCCTGTCTCAAAACAAACAAAAGTAATTACTGGGCTAGGGAGATGGTTCAGTGGTTAAAGTGCTTGCCTTACAAGCAAGAAGACCAGAGTTCTGAACCCCAGAACCCATATAAATACTATATAGGCATGATGACCTGCCTGTAATTTGAGCAAGAAGGTAGAGATGGGATCCCAGAACAAACTGGTTAATGAAATTAGCCATATCAGCAGGCTCTGGGTTTGACTGAGAGATCCTGACTCAAAGAATAAGGTGGAAGATCGATCAAGAAAGATTCCTGACATTAACCTCGGGCCTCCATATGCACATGCATACACACATGTGCACACATCACATACTCATATATTTGAGAAGAAGAAAAAAAGCAATTCTCAAGTCTATCAGTTTTACTCTAGGGGCATTTATCCTAGGAAAATGAATGAAAACTTTTGTTTACACAAAGGCATGTACAAACAAAAAAGGTCTGTACAAACAATATTCAGAGCAGCCAAATGTCCTTCAGCAAGTGAAAGATTAAATATACTCAGGGCTGGAGAGATGGCTCGATGGTTAAGAACACTAACTGTTCTTGCAGAAGGCCTGGGTTCGAATCCCAGCACCCACATGGCAGCTAACAACTGTTCATAACTCCAGTTCCAGGGGATCCAACAGCCTCTTCTGTCCTCCGAGGGCATTGCACAACACAGGTGCACTTACTTACATGCAGGCATAATACTCATACACATAAAATAAAAATTAGCCAGGTGTGGTAGCGCACGCCTTTAATCCCAGCACTCGGGAGGCAGAGGCAGGCAGATCTCTGTGAGTTCAAGGCCAGCCTGGTCTACATAGTGAGTTCCAGGACAGCTGGGGCTACAGGAAGACCCTGTCTCAAAACAGAACCCCCCCCCAAAATTAAACATTTTTAAAAGAGAGCAAATACACTTTAGTGGGGCACCTGTATCACAGAGCTGCTAAAACCACCGCCAATTTGCAGGACTCTCTAGAGAAAAGGTTAATCTTTACAAAGGCATGACTTTAGGTATGCAACCTTTTTTTTTTTTTTTTTTGAGACAGGGTTTCAAATATACCACACCTGGCTTGTAGCATTTTTTTTTAATTCCAAAGAGAGGCAATTTTTAACACAATTTTCCAGAAATACCTTGAAGCAGGTACATAAAAATATATATACAATGAAGTTTAAGGGGGAAATATAGGAATAAGAAATCAAAGGCCAAAGGATTTGCCAACATGGGGTCAACTTTGGTGGGATAATGAATGTTTCCATTAGCTCTGTTCTTTTTTTTGTGGGGGGGGAATCCTAACGAGTTTATTGGACTTGCTAACACAGCATAGGGTGGGGGTTTATTTACAGAAGAGTGGGCACCCCCCCCCATTTACGGCTGCACTGGAAAGTTCACATTCAAATATAGATCCTGTGACTTCCCAACAGCCACACAAAATAGCAAGAGAGATGCCTCAAGGTGTTCTCAGCTTAGATATCCTTAGCCCCTCCCCACATGCAGCTAAGGTCACCTGATTGGGTGGGAGGGTAACTGAAACATTTTTTTTTAATTAGAACATTTTTTTAAACCTTCAAGGGCTCACTCTCTAGTTCACTCCAAACTCATGATCCTCCTGTCTCTGACTCCCAGATGCTAGGCCAGCACCACCACACCTAGCCCCTGAACAGTTTTTATATAGGAGACAGGTTAGTGGTCACCAAGAGGTAGGAATGATGGCAGGGTATGGAAAAGATGTAGATTCACTTTTGAAAAAACAATGTAAGAGATCTATGAAGTACTGGAGCTAGAGAGATGCTCAGTTAAGAGCATTGGTTGTTCTTGCAGAAGACCAGAACCCACATGGTAGTTAACAACCATCTGTAACTCTAGTTCCAGGGGATCCAACGTCCTCTTCTGTCCTCCATGGACACTGCATGACACAGGTGCACTTACACATATACAGGCATAACACTCATAGACATAAAAAAATAAAATAAGATAAAAGATATCTATGTAGTAATGGAACTGTTCAATACCTGCAGATGGTAGTAGATACACAAAGCCTACCCAGATGAAAACATTGTATAGAATGTAACACAGACACACACACAGACACACACACACACACAGACACACACACAGACACACACACACAGACACAGACACAGACACACACACACACACACGAGTACAGAACACTGGTATAAACTGGAGTAAGAGGTATTGTTTATCTTTATGTCCTGGCTGTGAAATTATACTATAGTTCTACAAAATCTTACCATCAGGGGAAACTGCACAGTGTACAAGAGCTCTCTTATTTCTTATAACAGCATGAGAATCTATAATTATCTCAATTAAAAATTCAATTTAAAGACTGGTAAGACCAGCAAATTAGGCCAGTGGGGAAAGGCACTTGCTGCCAAGCCTGATAACCAGAGTTTGATCCCCAAAGCCTACATAAAATTGACTCCTGCTGTCCTCTGACCTCCACATAAAAGTCATAGTTCATGTACATGTACACTCACACACACACAAAATTAAATGTGAAAAAAAATGAATGTTTCAGAATGCCTGAGATGTAGTTAAGTTCTGTGAAGGAATAAGCGTCAGAGTCAGGAGGCCGAGAGGGCTGCTTTGAGATGGCTGTATAGGGAAGGTAGGTAAGTATGAGCTGAGTTTTCAAGGATGACAAGGAGTTAGCTATTACAGCAGAGTGCCCCCTGCACTGGTGAAGCCTTTGAACGAAGAAGGATGTGACTGTTAAAAGAGTAAAGCAGTCTGGTAAAGGTGGAGCCAATCCTCAGCGACTTCAGGGAAAAGGGGTCTAGGAAGCAGTCAGAGCCCAGCCATATTAAGGAGCTAGGATTTTATGCTAGAGCACAGAGATGCTTTATCCACAGATCAAGGTATAGGGAAAATGAAAATGAGAGGAAGCATGGGTGCAGGAGGAGAATGGAAGAAAGGAATAGTTGCAAGGGATTATTACACCCACATATCTTAATTATGCCACTATTTTGCTTGGGGCTAGCCTTAGCCAAACTAATAACCTTGGTGACATCTCTGAAAAATACACCTTAGACACTTCCAACAACCATAATGGATTGGTTATTAGTACTTAGGGCGGGTAACTGCAGGGTGGGGCTCTGCATCCCTAACTGGTATGATTTTAAGTTATACAATTTAGGGCTCATGACGTTTCCTTATCACCACTTCCAATGCTCTTAAATAATGTACTGCTCTGGGGTTTTGCTATTGCTGGTTTTGTTTTTTGCCTTTTTTTGAGACAGAGTCTTACTCTGTAGCCCGGGCTGGCCTTGAACTCACAGCAATCCTTCTGTCTCAGCACTGTAAGTGTTGGGATTACAGGTACAGATGTGATCTACCACACCCAGTTATATGCCTTTTATAGAAATACAAACTCTCAGCTGGGAGTAATGGCTCACCCCTTTAATCCCAGAACTTGAGAGGCAGACGCAGTGGTCCTACACAGCAAGTTCCAGGTCAACTGGGGATGCAGGGAGACCCTGTCTCAAAATGACCAAAAGAAAGAAAGGAAGGAAGGAAGGACAACTCTCGATATTTAGCCTCACTAATTATTAAAGCTAGATACATAATACATATTAAAACATAAGAAACCATGCAGGTGCAGGTAACATTATGCCGAAGTTGTTTTACTCATGCATCGTTGTTATACTCTAAAATATATTCACATTCATTTTCACACAAAATTAGAACTGAGTTTGATCTCTGGGACCCACATGGTGGAAGGAGAGAATTGACTCCCACAAGTTGTTCTCTGACCTCCACACACGCACTGTGGCATATAGGCATGCATATGTGCACACATGCATACACACACACACACACACACACACACACAAAATTTTAAAAAACTGATGTCTCCAAATGCTTATCAAATAAACCTGATGCCCCAGACACTCTCTCTTGTACCACCTCATAACATTACAGTATCTGAGAAAACACTTAATCATGAGCCATTAGAAGTCTTAAAATCAACATTAAATATCACTAATAATACCAAACACTGAAGACCTGACCCTGTCTGAAGAGCTAAAACATCGCATCTTTTGCCTCAATCATATCACATGTAGACATAAGGGGTATTAGACGAGATGTCAGCAGCTAGTGGCACTATCCTTGCTACTCTTAATGACATCACCATAACTACCATTTACTGATGGCCTGCAACTTGTTACATAACATTAAGAACTGGACAGTCTGCTGTGTCAATATCCATTCTCCACTTTATAAGAGAGATGATGAAATTCGGTCATTTCAATTCATGTAATCTGTATATCTTTTTCATTTCTCAAAGACAGAAACATGAATTCTCTCCAGCAAGACAAATACTGGTCTACCCCAGAGCTCCTCCAGACTTCCTGAGGTACAGTCCTGAAACTCATCTACCACAGATGCTTTTAGGGGGCTTATATTAAATTTCACTCTGGGGGAATGTATGATCAGTACTTTTGTCTTAATGCCCTAAAGCAAGAAAGGTGGGGAATTCAACACATCTACAGTTAAGGAAAATCTATGTATAAAAAACAAAAACAAAAAACATCTGAATTACAGAAATAAAATAAAGATTACTTTGGGCTGGAGAGATAGCTCAGTGGTTAAGAGCACTGCTTGCTGTTGCAGAGGACCCAGGTTTGATTCCCAGCACCTACAGGCTAACAACCAGCCATAACTCGAGTTCCAGGGGATCTGATGCCCTCTTCTGATCTCTGCAGGCATTGTACAACACGGGTGCATTTACACACATGCAGGCAATATACCCATACACATAAAATTAAAATTAAATAAAATATTAAAAAGATTACCTTCATTAGAAGAGAATTATTCCAAGATTTTACAAGATCAGTTGCCCTTAGGTCCTGCCAACTAATGAAGTTGTGAAAATGATGTCCTGTTTTCCTAGGAAAGATGGAAAGAGTAAATCAGATATTATATGAAAGATCTGCCACAGATGGCTGGGGATATTGCTAGAATGCTTGCTAGAATGCATGAGGCCCAGGTTCAATCCCTAATGCTGGGGAAAAAAATCTGCCATAAGAGAAAACAAAATAAGGCACAGGCATGCTGGTGCATGCCTTTAGTCCCAGCACTTGGGAGGCAGAGGCAGGCGGATCTCTGTGAGTTCAAGGCCAGCCTGGTCTACATAGTGAGTTCCAGGCCAGCTGAGGCTACTTTTTTTAAAATAATAAATTAAAAAAACCAAAAGTACTATTTGACACATAGTATCAGATTATAAATCAGATTCTGGCCCCAAAAGATTATTCTTTTGAAACACTACAATGTGTATACTTTCAAAAACAAAATTAGTGACAAGACCTTTGAAGATACAATCTATATTTTTAAAAAGCAAAATTTAAAAAGCTAATGGATCCTCCGTCATCATACTTACCCTAATCCAGATAAAAATGACCCATGAAGGATCAAAAATATCTCTTAAGGCCTTCTGCACCCCTCAACTTTAGAATGTCTTAGCCATTGTTTACCTAATACGATTACCAAAATGTATCCAATAATGTAAAATCAGGGTCGTAGAGATGACTCAACCTGGAAACCTGAATTTGCTGTGTGGAACCCACAGTGAAATGAGAGAACTGACTCCCAAATGTTGTCCTCTGACGTCCATACATGCATGGGGGCATAACTATGCCCTCAGTGTACACACACACACACACACACACACACACACACACACACATTGATAATGTATTTTTTAATTTTTTTTAAAGAAAGAAAAACCCAAGCCAGACATGGTGGCATACACCAACATTTAGAAGGAACTGCCATGAGTTCAAGGCCAGTCTAGTCTTCCTGGGCCTTGAGACTCTGTCTCAAAAGCAGACCTCTGTGAGAGCGAGACCAGTCTGGTCTACATAGAGAATTCTAGGCTGGTTGGAGCTACAGGAAGACCCTGTCATAAGGAAAAAAAAAAAAAAAAAAAAAAGTCTACTAGGTGCAGTGGCAAACGCTAGCAGAAAAAGCTGAAGAGGTGAACGTAGGAGGATCATGAGTTCAAGGCCAGCCTAGGCTATTCCTTTCCCTTTAAACAAAGCAAAACAAACAAAAATCTAGCAAGCCCTGGGTCAATACTACAATAACAGTACAGAGCTAATAAACACAGAAGAAAAAAGGTCCTTTTCCTTTGAGGCTCCTACAAAACACCCACTGGTATGTATTAATTGTTAAGGTTCAGATAGCCCCACCCCCTCACCAACAGGGCCTCAGGGACCTCACAAGCCCCTGAGAAAAGGGAACCAAGTTGATAGGCACCCTGGTCTTTGAAGTCAAGAGAAGCACACATTTTCCCTGCCCGGAAGGGACTCTGTCCCATGTGTACCTTTGCTAATAAACTCTATTCTGATGGAGTTTTATCTGTGTCCTGGTGCTTTCTCCCGATCAACCGGATTCATCCACAGGCTACTTTATCATTAATGTTTTTTTCTTTTATTTTCACGGTGCTGGGGATGAACCCAGGGCCTGGAGCATACTCGGCACATGGCTCTGGCACTGAACTGCACGCCCCAGCCCTGGCCTCCACTAGCCTTGCTCAGTTCTGGGTCAATTTAACCATGTTGACCTAACCAGTTCAATTCCTGAGACCCCTACTCCCCACTCAAGCAGTCCAATTCCTGGTTTTGTCTTCATTGGTCTCAGTAAGTACTTTTTAAAAATATTTTTATTTATTATTTTATTTTTATGTGAATAAGTGTATTGTCTGCATATGTGTAAGTGCAGCCATGTCATGCAATGCCCATGGAGGTCAGAAGAAGGCATCAGATCCCTTGGAATTGGAGTTACAAATGATTGTTAGCCACCATGTGGGTGCTAGGAATCAAACCCAGGTCCTCTGCAAGAGCAGTCAGTGCTCTTAACCTCTCAGCCATCTCTCCAGCCCGCGTTTCAGCAAGTATTTATAAAGGCAGTTTCTGACAGGAGTCGGAGACAGAGCTATGAACAGAAAAATAGGGCATCTTTGACCTGAAGAATATACTTTCTACCTGGGAACTCAAACAAATCATTGCAATAGGAACAAGTCCTATGAAGAAGAAATACAGGAGCCCGTGAGTATATGCTGTGGGATCCTACCTGGTCCAGGAAGAAGGACCAGAGAAATGGCAGTGGAACTGGGCTCTGAAGGATGCATAGAGATTAACCAGGAAGGTAAATGTGCTGACAAAATGTATCGTGTTCAAAAGTACCAAGGTAGGACGAAGCACACTGTGTTAGAGGAGCTGAAAGGTTAGCAAAGCTGAAGAGGAAAGAGAAAAATCACAAGAGGAAAGTGCTGGTGACTCATAACATGATGCAGAACAATCTAGAAAGCTGATGTGAAGTGGTGGCATATATTCCAATAGTCAGTCAGCACAGATTTGAGTTAATTTTATCTCTATAAAGAGAAAACGTGAAAGACAATATTATACAAACTGTCTTCAATCCTTCTAACACTTTATACCCTTCTGTAGCTGCTCATATACTTGTGTCACAAATAATTAGCAATAATCATTAACATAAATAGCAAATGCTACAAGAAAAGACATCTGGCAGGAGAAACACAGAGGTTTATATACTTGATAAGAGAGACTATCAATTCCTGACAGGCTGGTGTTGGTTTTCACCTTCGTATTCAGTCTTAAACCGGTACTGAGCTCTGTGAACCTATCACCAGTTATGGACTGATCCCAGGCTCTGACTCACATTTTACACTGCTAATTGGCACACATCCTGATCTGAGGTTAGCTGGCAAAGCCTCCCTCAGAGACACAGCAACTGAAGAAACAAACAGATTTTTCAAAAGAAGAAAAATGGGGGAAAATACCACTTACAGTATTTTAGAAAGCAAGCTAAATACACCATGGATTAAACATACTAGAAGAAAGTTCAACCTAAAGAGCATGAAAAAATTTCAGGGCTGAAAAACATTAACATTGAGTTTCCTGGCTTGGGGGCCCGCAAGGGCGGGGGTACCAGGAAAAAAAAACATCAAGTTGAAAGTTTTAGACTTTTATAGTATTATAGCAACCATAAAGGAAATCATTTCCGGAAGTCATGAAGATGGGAATGCACTATAGTCACAAGAGAAAAAAAAAAAGCCCAGCAAGATTACTGTCAGTTTGAAGCCAGTTCAGGCTATTTAATGGAACCCTTCTCAAAAAAAAAAAAAAAAGAAAAAAGAAAAAGAAAAGAAAAACAAGCTGAGAGAGACGGCTCCCTGGTTAAAGCAGGTAAAAAGCCCATGGCAGTGTGCCCTGTAATCCCAGCACTGGGGAGGTGGGACAGGACACCTGTAGGCCAATAGACGACACCAGAAGTTGACCTCTGGCCTCCACACATGCACACACATGTGCACAAAACACATACAACACAGAAAGCAAGAAGGAGAAGGTGCTGGCTGGCCTGGAATAAACAATGGATTATTCTGTAGGATCCAGGATGTCTCTTCATCTCACAGGGGAGCAAGAAGTACTTCCTGTCTGCTCTGGGCTAGGTCCATTCCGATGTTGTCCGTATGACACCCTGTAGAGGCCTACTGCAGCCCAGTGTGCAGAATAAGGCTCCATTCTTTTACCATGAAACAAGCATGCAGCTTTACACACTTCTTCAAAAAATGTGCATGTCTCAGTTTCCACAAGTAAAAAGTGTTTGCAATATAAACATTTTAAAAAAAACAGGGGGGAGGGTAAGTGTGGTGATGCACACCTTTAGTCCCAGCACTAAGGAGGCAGAGGTGGGTAGAACTCTGTGAATTCGAGACTAACCTAGTCTACACAGTGAGTTCCAGGCCAGACAGGGCTACATAATGAGATCCTGTCTCAAAAAAATAAGTAAAATAAAATACAATAAAATAATAAAGGGGTGTAATTAAGAAAACAAATTCACAGTACAGTTTTAGGTGAAAAAAGTCTCTTTAACAACTACACCTGTAAGATAACTGAACTGTCTCTCAGTCCACTGGTCTGTTCCTTTCTAAAATTAAAGGGTCACAGAAAGACTTCAATAAGTTCCTTCCCCAGGAACTCTCTCCTGTCTTGGCTTCTCTGCCTCCCGCTTCTCAGATGGCATTGCTTGGTCAGCCTTCCTTCCCACTGGGAATCTTTTTAAATGTGGGAGGGAAAATACCTTGGTGGAAATCCTGGCAAACTTTTCTTTCTTCCATCTAATCTTACCAGACTATATCTTCTTCTGAAGACTTCTGCTCTGCAGGTCTCAAGTGAGGGCAATTTTGCAACGCTTGGAAACATCTGAGTTCCTCCCAAGGAAGGGGCTGTTACTAAACACCTACAATGCATTGGACCATTCCCACAAAGAATCACCTCATCCAAGATGGTGTGGTACCACTGCTTAGATCTGCAAATAACTTGGATTTATTCAGTATTATAGCTTTTTGTCTGTTTTTTTGAGAGAGGGTCTCACTATGTGGCCCAGGCTGGCCATGAACAAGCAATTTTCCTGCCTCAGCCTTCTGAGCGCCCACATTACAGGTGTGAGCCACCAAGCCTGGCTAAATGTCTTCCTCTTGCCTAATACTGAGTCAAAAGCCAGATTCCTGTGAATCCACCTGATTATATTTTGACACCCTCGCCTTATTTTTCCTTCTTACTGCCCAAAATGTTCTACAAAGTCCAGCACTTTGTAATATAGGCACGTTACAATTTTGTTTTGTTTTGTTATTTTACGTGTATTCGTGTATTGCCTATTGCCTGCATGTAGGTAAGTGCACGATGTTGTGCAATGCCCGTGGCGATCAGAAGAGGCCGTCAGATCCCCTGGAACTGGAGTTATGGACAGTTGTTAGCTGCCATGTGGGTGCTGGGATTCGAACCCAGGTCTTTGCAAGAACAACCAGTGTTCTTAACTACTGAGTCATCTCTCCAGCCCCTTGTTTTGTTTTGTTTTAACTTTATGTGTCTGAGTGTTTTGCCTGCATGTATGTATGTGCACCCATGTTGTGCAATGCCCATGGAGGCCAGAAAAGGGTGTCTGATTCCCTCGAACTGGAGTTACAGGTGGTTGTTAGCAGCCATGTGGGTGCCAGGAACTGAACCCAGGTCCTCTGCAAGAGCAGTCAGTGCTCTTAACACTGAGCCATCTCTCCAGCCCCATGTTACAGTTTTTGTTTCTGCTTTTATTTTATTTTAAAAAATATTTTATTTTTATTTTATGTGTATGAATGCATTGCCTGCACGTATTTAAGTGCATCCATGTTGTGCAATGTCTATGAAATTCAGAAGAGGGTGCTTGATCCCCTGGAACTAGAATTATGGATGGTTGTTAGCTGCCATGTGATTGCTGGGAAGTAAACCTGGGTCCCCTACCAGAATAGTCAGTGCTCTTAACCACTGGGCCATCTCTCCAGCCCTCTTCTTTTATTTTGAGAGAGGGCTCTACATTGTGAAGCTGGTCTTGAATTCTTGGACTTAAGCAATCCTCCAGCCTCAGATTCCTGACTGCTGGAACAACAGTCAAAGGTGACCATGGCCAGCTCCTTTTGTATTGTTTTGTGTTAAAAGTAAGGAAAGCACATACTGGAGGCAAAATGGAATGGTAAAAAGAATATAGAACCTGCTTCATAAAAAAAAAAAAAAAAAAAAGAAAAAAAAGATTTAGGGCTTGGGGTGCTGTTCAGTGGACAAGCACTTGCCTAGCCTGCCTGTGGCCCTAGGCTCAACTCCAAAACAGTGAAACAAAGAAGCGAAGCCAAAAGATAGTTTAGAATCAGGCTCTAGTTACTGAGTGACCTTGAACAACTTACTAATTTCTCTGAGCTTCAGTTTCTTTCTCTGGAAAAATAAACAAAGACATAAATGATAGGTTTCTTTTCCAGATAATGAAAGCTGCCATCGCAGGTGTTTACTGTCCACAGCTACAACTGTCCTGCAATGTGTCTACACCACAGACACCTCAGATGCTATAGAAACTGACATGAAACAAAAGCAAGTCTGAAAATGTAGATCATTAAGGATATTCTATTCCTGAAATTTGGACTCTCTGCATATAAGGCATCCTAGACCCTGTTTTTTTGAAAAGCCAATTTACTCAAAAGAGGAATGCAGACCTTTTATGACAGCAGCAATCTCCTTACTATGATTTCATGTTTTCTTTTGAGACGGCATCTCACTATATTGCCCAGATGGCCTCCAACTTGGTTCAAGCTAATCCTCCTGCCTCAGTCTCCCAAGTGCTGGAACTATGGGTATGTACCACCTTCTTTCTGTACCGGTTCAACCGCAGTATGTGTGCTGCCAAATCGAGCACCATGCCTGGCTTCTTCTCATTATTTTAAGTAAATCAAGTGCAGATGATAAGTGGGGAGCCAGACAGTAAGCCCATTTTCATCGCCTTAGCCAAACACAACTGGCCTCAGTTCACAAACTGAAAACTCTCCAAAGAAGTTTCACAGCACCCAACCCCCTGAAGCTGGAGATGAAGCCAGCACTAGCCACACAAAGCACTTACTTGTTCCACGTAATAAAAGTTGCTCTCTGCGTTGATACGCCCAGACCAACAATTTGATTCATCTGTACTCCTGCAGCTAAAGGTAAAGGCAGATAAGATATGTTTGACAGGCAGTGAGATTTCACTGTATAATACAATACAGAATCTTTAGCAAAAACATCTGAGTTTAATAAGTAAAGCATTACTAAGATAATTTTGTCGTTTTTATTTTAAAGGGAAAAAAGATAATAACAAAAGTGGCCCCTTTTCTTGCTTTAAATATTAGAAAAGAAAGTTTAATAAAAGTCACGTCACACTGCATTCCCCCCCACAATACTGAAAAACTAGATCTTAACTTACACAATAGTCAATCACAATAGATGTAGATGATGATGACTGAGGAAAATCCCTGTGGAAACCAGTGTAATTACTGAAGCTGAGATATTTTTCAAGACAAACAGATGCTAAATATAAAAATAAAAACATGAGTTCTGCTTTTGTTTATTTTTTGTTTTATTTTTTGAGACAGGGTCTTACTCTGTAGCATAGACTGGTATAAAACTCATTATGCAGCATAAGCTGACTTCAAACTTAATTCTCCTGCCTCAGTCACCTGAGTGCTAGGATTATAGGCCTGAGCCTCCATACTCAGTTAACATGAGTGGTTTTGGTGGTGGCATTTTATTACTTTTCAAAGATTTGTTTTTATTTCTGTGTTTGTGTATGCCAGTGTGTAGGTGCCCACAGAGGCCAGAAGAGGGCATTATATCCCTTGCAGCTGGAGTTATGGACAGCTGTGTGTGCTAGAAAAGCAGCAAGAGTTCTTAACCACTGAGCCATCTCCCCAAACCCTGCTGTCTCATTATTTGTATGGATTTGTGTGCGTGTGCGTGTGCGTGTGTGTGTGTGTGTGTGTACAGGTAAACACTCATGATGGAGAGGGGGTAGTTCACATAGCAAGGTGCACCTGTAGAAGTCAGAGGACAACTTTATGGAGTCAGTTCTCCACTTCAACCTTAATGTGGGTTCTGGAGATCAGTGTTGGGTCACCAGGATTTCGTGGCACATTCCATTCCTCACTGAGTCAACTCACTGGCCCTAACAAGAATCTTTTAATTCTGTTTTTTAGTTTGGGGTTTGTTTTGTTTGTTTTACAGAACTGAGGATAGAATTCAGGGCTTCAAGTGCTAAGCAAACAGTGTACCACTGTTTGGTTTGGGTCCCAAGACCAAAACACCAGATTTTAAACTCAAATTTCCTTAAAATATAGAAATGTTTTCTGGTTTGTTTCTTTTGTTTTTGTTTGTTTGGCAACAGGGCCTCACAATGTAACCCTAGATGGCCTGGAACTCCCTATGTAAACCAGGTTGGCCTCGATCTCACAGAGATCCACCTGCCTCTGCCTTCCTAGTGCTGGGATTAAAGGCGTGCACCACCATGCCTATGCCTAGAAATATGTTTTGTTGGTTTGGGGTTTTTTTTTGGGGGGGGGTCTTTTTGAGACAGGGTCTCCCTGTAGCCCCAGCTGGCCTGGAACTCACTATGCAGACCAGGCTAGCCTTGAACTCACAGAGATCCACCTGCCTCTGGGTCCAGAGTGCTGGGACTAAAGGTGTGCACCACCACGCCTAGCAGAAATATGTTTTTCATATAATGTATTTTTAAATTTGAGACTAGGTCTCATTATATAGTACAGGTTGGCCTCCATTCTCCTGATATAGCCTCCTGGGATTACATGATATGTCACCATGTCCTGCTTATAATGTTATTTTTTCTTGTTTTTTTTTTGAGACAGGGTCTCACTATATAGTTCTGGTTGGCTTGGAACTCATTATGTAGACCAGGCTGGCCTCAAACTCAGACATCCACCTGCCTCTGCCTCCAGGGCAATGAGATTAAAGGTGTGCATCACCACACCTGGCTTGTAATAATTCTTTTAAAATAAATTTATCCCACTGGGTGAATTTGGCACAACTTCAATTTAAGTACTAAGGAAAATGTATCACTCCTATATAGTACTGTTTCCAACAATCTTTAACTTAAATCTAATCATGAGGAACGAGACAACAAAATGAGGAATGGTCTACTGAATTGGCCCATACTTTTGGAAAACTTTCACTGTTGCCAGGCTTGGTGGTGCACACCTTTAGTTCAGTACTTGGGAGGCAGAGGCAGGTAGATCTCTGTGAGTTCAAGGCCAGCCTGGTCTACAGAGTGAGTTCCTGGCAGCTGAAAAAAGATTTAAAAAAAAAAAGATTTTAAAAAAATGTATGTAGTTGGAGGGGAGGGAGTAGGCATGGATTTGATCAAAACACCTTATATGCATGTATGAAATTCTCAATAAATTATTTTTTAAAATGTATGTAGTTACAGGGAGTTGTGAGTCACCCAATGTGGGTGTACCTGATGGTAAGAAGAGAACTTGGGTCCTCTGGAAGAGCAATATGTGCTCTTAGTCCTTGAGCCATCTCTTCAGCCCCTATTACAACTTTTAAAATAAGATTTAAATGATTACAAACTAAAAAGATGAAAAAGAGAAGCAATTCAGTCAAAAAAAGTGCAATGTTTTTGAACAAGGTTACACTGAAAACATTCTTTTTTCACTTTTTCTCTCTTTTTTTAAAAATTATGTATATATGTGTGTCTATGTGTAGGCTTGTACACATGAGTGCAGTATCCACAGAGGCCAGATGAGGGTATCAGATTCCCTGGAGTTGGAGTTAGGCAGTTGCCAGCTGAGTGATGTGGATGATGGGGACTGAACTCAGGACCTCTGGGAAGAACAGTACTGAGCCACCGAGCCATCTCTCCAGCCCCTTTCTTTCAGGAGGTTTTCCTAAGTAGGCCAAGCTGATCTCAAATGTTACAATTATAGGTGTATGCCACCATGCCCCACTTGGGAGGCAGAGTCATGCAGACCTCTGTGAGACTGAGGCCAGCCTTGTCTATATAGCAAGTTCCAGGCCAGCCTGGAGTCCCTGTTTCAACCCCGCCCCCCCCCAAAAAAAAAACAACAACCAAAAACATTCTTTTTAAAAAAATATTTTTATTTTATTGGGTATGAGTATGTTGCCCGCATGTGTGTAAGTGCACCTATGTGGTGCAATGCCCGAGGAGGTCAGAAGAGGGCACTGGATCCCTTGGAACTGAAGGCAGTTGTTAGCCACCATGTGCATGCTGGGAATTGAACCCAGGTCCTCTGCAGGAGCAGTCAGTGCTCTTAACTGATGAGCCATCTCTCAAACACCCTCAAAAAACATTCTTAAGCACTAAGACTTGAGCCTCAACTATGGTTAGAACATTGCCTCAATGGACTATAACTTATTTTATAATCAGGTAAGGCAGTTGTGAAAGAAGGAACAGTAAGGGTAACTGTTTCTAATCCTCTGGAGTGCTATACCCACCAGGAAATGAAATAAGCACTGTAACCTGGAACAAAGGAAGGTAGCTGAAAAGGGCCACACCAGGGGACATGGCCCCTCTTACCTTTATGCTTGACAAAGTAGCTCACTGTACACCACAAATTCCCCCTCAGCAAAATACTGAGAAACCATGGCTCTTCTCTCAAAAGACCATTAGAAGATTCTTATTAGAAACAGTGTACTATTATTTTTATAAATCCTCTTACCTTTGACAGCATCTTTTACTACAGCAACAAACTGAGTCCAGAGAACATCAGGATCAATTTCAACCCAACCAGGCTGAGGATAAATATTTTCTATCTATTTAAGAAAACATAGGATTGAGTAAAGAAAGCATTAGATTAAGTCAATAATATCTGGATCTTAAGACTACCAGTTAAAATAATTAACAGTATAATTTCATTTAGCTAATTAGTTTTTACTGTTAACACTGAGCAGCTGGTTATAGCTCAATGTTGGTGTGTGAAAGACCCAAGTTCAATCCTTACTCCCAAATATTGAAAAAACATATATAAATGAAATTAAAAAGGGCTATATACCAACAGTAATAGCTCATTAGTTTACAGAAGATTTTAATTTGGTTTATTTTACCTTTTCCTTTATTTTTCAAGTTTTCTACAACAAAGATGTTTTATAGTAAGGATACAAAAGATTTTTTTTAATTAAAAATAGGGGTGGAGAGGTGGCTCAGTGGCTAAGAGCACTGATGTTCTTGCAGAGGACCTGGGTTTGGTTCCCAGTACCCACATGGCAGCTAACAACCATCCAGAACTCCAGTTCCAAGGGATCTGATGCTCTCTTCTGGCCTCTGCGGGCACTGCATGCATGTGGTATACTTATATGCATGCAGGCAAAACACTCATACATAAAATAAAAATAAATAATATATTTTCAAAATGAAAAATAAAGGAACAAGTTTTTGTTGTTGTTTTGGTTTGGGTTATTTTTGTCCTTTTGAGACAGGGTTTCCCTGTAGCTCCAGCTGCCCTGGAACTCTCTATGTAGACCAGGCTGGCCTCAAACTCAGAGATTCACCTGCCTCTGCCTCCTAAGTGCTGGGATTAAAGGTCTGTGCCACCATGCCTAGCCTTAAAGGAATGAGTTTTAATTCAGACTATCATGGATTAGCACCCTCCACCCTGTCTCCTACTACACATAAATACAAAGCTTGGGCAGAATGCAGGGAACAGTTTTTCAGGGTGGGGGAAATACGTAAGAATTCAAGTACCACAAGGGCAAAGGATGTAGCTCAGTGATTGGATCACTTGTACACCATACACAAGGCCCAGGGTTTGATCCCTAGCACTACCAAGAAGACAAAAATTGAGTACCACTAAGCTGATGCTAAGTTTCCCATTTTTCTTCTGACATCCCTTGGTCTGGACTCAGGCATGCTAGAAACTAGAGTTCAGCTACAAGAGAAGCTCTGCTTACTGTTTAGGGTCAAAGACTAGGAAAGGGAATTTCTAACATTGAAAAGGAAATGACAGTCATGGTCCATTTTCCTTCCTTTCTTATTTTTTCCCTACTTACCTCCCTTCTTTTGCACCCAGGCTACCATATGCAGTGAGCTGCAGCAGTAATAGTGGGTCCGAGGGTACCAACCAACACCTACAACAATGGCAGATGCAGAACTTCCTACCCAATCTGAGAAGCTGCATGAGCTTTGTCATTATTTTCTGCTGCTTTGTCATTATTTTCTGTTCTCTGGGCCTAGGCCAGATGTACCCAGAAAAAAGAACAGAACCCCCATTTTGAGGCCAAAGGTCAAAAGGAGAAAACTAGGCCTTAGAAATCAAAGACTACTAGGCTTCAGGCCTGGTGGATCAGGCTGGCGATCCCACCTACTAGGGAAACTAAGGCAGGAAGCTGACAAGTTCAAGACCTGCTCGGACTACACAGTGAGTTCAAAGCCATCCTGGGTAACTCAGTGAGACCTGCCTCAAAAGAAAAAAAAGCAAATAATACAAAATTCAAAATGATAGGGCCGGGCGTGGTGGCACATGCCTTTAATCCCAGCACTTGGGAGGCAGAGGCAGGTGGATCTCTGTGAGTTCAAGGCCAGCCTGGTCTACATAGTGAGTTCTAGGACAGCTGGGACTACAGGGAGACCCTGTCTCAAAAAGACCAAAAAAAAAAAATTTTTAATGATAATTACCTATATCGAAACTCTGCCTCCCAAGGCTCGGGGATCATTGCAGAAGAGGAGAGAGAAAGATTGTAGGAGTCAAAGATGGTGGATCACAACAAGGAAAGGGTTTTCCAGACGGCTGGGAAGTTACTCATCTGAACTCACAACAATGGTGACAGCATACACAACTCAAGCCAGACAAAATTCCAGCATAGTAGGGAAGTGGGTAAGAAACTCCAACCCTCTCTGAGGAGCTATTAGCAAGTGATGGATGCTAGTAGGGGAGAGTCAATCTCATTTAAGGGTAAGACTTGGTAGACTGACCAGGTTCCAGGCTTCTGACTCTATAGGCATATATAAAAATATATTACATGAAATTGGACAGGGGGTAGTAAGGGGAGTAACAGGGAGTGCAGAAAGGGGAAGAGCTCTGAATATGATCAAACTATATTATAAGAAATTTTGCAAAAATCACTAACAAATAATAAATACATAAAAAAGAACTTCTAGCTGGGTATGGTGGCACATGCCTAGAATCTTAACACCTGGGAGGCAGAGATAAGAGGATCACTGTAAGTTCAAGGCCAGACAGGCCCACATAGTGAGTAGTTCTGGGTCAGCCATATAGCAAGACTCTGTCTTTTAAAAACAACAAGGAAGGAGGGAGGGAGGGAGGGAGGGAGGGCAAAAGATTTAAACTGGTACTTCCCAAATAAAGTATATGCAACATACATATGTCCATGTACCAGGTGTGGTGGTGTGTGCCTTTAATCCTAGCACCTGAGAGGCAGAGACAGGCCCATCTCTGTGAGACTGATGCCAGCTGGGTCTACATAGTGAGTCCAGGCTAGCTGGGGCTACAAGGAGACCCTGTCTCAAAAAGACCAAAACATAACTAATTAATTAATATGTCCATACATATATGTTCATGAAGATATTCAACATAAGCCATTAGAAAAACAGAAACCCAGTGTGTTATCACTAATTATAGATAAGTAACAACAACAACAAAATAAACAGGGGTGGGGGAGCTGACTTGATGACTCAGTATATCCTGAACTTGATCCCCAGGTCCTCATGTAGCATTTTACCCACTGAGCCATCTCCCCATCCCTGCTGCTTTTTGAGATAGGGTCTTGCTCTATAGGCCAAGCTGGCCTGGAGTTCACTATGCAGTCTGTGCTAGCTTCCAACTCCTGTTCCTTAACTAGGTGTGCCACTAAACCTCATTAATTTTTCATTTTAGTTTATGAAGCAGCTAGAGACATGGTCAGAAAAGAGCACTTGCTACTCCTCTAAAGGACTCAAGTTTAGTTCCTCACACCTATATCAGGTGGCTCACAACTGCCTATAACTCTAGCTCCCAGAGATCTGACACCCTCTTCTGGCTTCCTTGGGCACCCGCCCACATGTGGCATATACTCATACAAATACAAAAAACAAGCATATAAATAAAACAATTTTTAAAAATAAATCTTTAAAAAATAGGTTTTAAAGAATATTTTATTATTTTTTTAAATATTTTATTATTTTTATGTGTATGTGTGTCTTGCTTGCATGTAGGTAAGTGCACCCATGTCATGCAATGCCTGTGGAGGACAGAAGAGGCCGTTGGATCCCATGGAACTGGAGTTGCAGACAGTTATTAGCTGCCATGTGGGTACTGGGATTCAAACCCCAGACTTCTACAAGAACAACCAGCATCCTTAATCACTGAGCCATCTCTTCAGCCCTTATTTATTATTTTTATTTTGCGTGTATGGGTGTCTTGTCTGCTTGTATGGGTGCACCCATGACATGCAATGCCTGTGGAGGTCAGAAGAGGATGTTAGATTCTTCTGAAACAGGAGTTACAGACAGTTGTTAGCTGCCATGTGGGTGCTGAGAACCAAACTTGGGTCCTTTGCACAGAGCAACCAGTGCTCTTAATCAATGAGCCATCTCTCCAGCCCCTAAAAATGTTTTAAGAGCCTATGGCTTCAAGTTAAACTGATGGCTTGAACATCCCCAATACCTTTCAGGACTCTGCTAAAAGAAAAGAAAAGGCTGAGTGGCAAGCCAGGCATGGTGGTGCAGGCTGCCATCCCAGCACTCAGGAGACTGACAGGGGAGGATGGTTCTAAATTATAAATTCAAGTCCAGCCTGGATTACACAGTGAGATCCTATCTCAAAAAAAAAAAAAAAAAAAAAAAAAAAAAAAGACTTGGTGGGGTTGGAGAGATGACTCGGTTAAGAACACTGGCTGCTCGGTTCCCAGAACCCACATGGCGGCTAACAACTGTTGGTAACTCCAGTTCCAAGCAATCTGAATGCTCTCTCTGACTTCCTCAGGCACTGAGGGAGTGTACACAGGTACACTTACACACATGCAGGCCATACATACATATTTTTAAAATATTTTTTATTTTTATTTTATGTGTATGAGTGTTATGTCTGCGTGTAGGTAAGTGCACCAGCGTTGTGCAATGCCTGCGGAAGACAGAAGAGGCTGTTGGATTCCCCTGGAACTGGAGTTATGGACAGTTGTTAGCTGCCATGTGGGTGCTGGGATTCGAACTTGAGTCTTCTGCAAGAACAACCAGCATTCTTAACTTCTGAGCCATCTCTCCAGCCCCATAAAATATTTTTTTAAAAAGACTTAAAGGCACAAAGATAAGGGCAAACAGGATCAGACCAGATTGAACTAGTGTTTTAAATATGAACAGTGAACGGGCGGGTTGAATATAGCTTAGCACAGGAAAAAGTACTATGCCCAGATTACATGGCCCCTCTACTCAACCCGCACCCCAACTTCACTCAAAGTAAAACCACTATTCCTTATAATGCCCTGTAAGACCTGAGTCAGATCACCTGTACAGCTACTCAGAAAGCAAGCAGCCAGAGGAGCTGTCTCCTCAGGTCATCTTTCCCTCAGAATCACAAGCACCGGGTACTTGGGTAAGTGTAGAAACAGCATGAGCAAAGTCCACAGCAGAGAGCAGAGATTTCAGGCTGAGCCCTGGAAAAGGGAGGCACCCCAGAAACAAGAGTGTTGGGGTGCTGCGTGGGCTGTATTCACAATTGGTTCAAAGCCTTTTAAGGCTCCCTGGTGCCCCTCAGCCACACTACTGCTTTGCACACTAGGCTCATGTAGAGACTGAACTTCAAATATCAGATAGAGCTGGGTGTGATGGTGCACGCCTTTAATCCCAGTGCTTGGGATTAAAGGCAGGCGGATCTCTGTGAGTTCGAGGCCAGCCTGGTCCACATAGTTCCAGGACAGCTGGGGCTACAGAGAGACCCTGTCTCAAAAAGAC